CCATTATTCATACAACTCTGCTCTTCAGTACCTGCTTCTCTGCTAGTTGTTAGCACAGCTGGTGCTGTACTTGTTCCCTTCTAGCTTGGCTCTTCTGAGTATGTGATGGGGTAATTATCCCTTGATGATGAGGAACATTTAAAATAAATGGTATCTGGTTACAGTTCTAGAGCTCCTGAAGAATGTTAAAAATGCACCTGAAAGTGCATGTTCAGCAGAAACTAGCATAATGCACATTCTACTAACTGATAATGTCAGAATCGGTTAACAAGCGTGCTGCATGGTGCTCCTAATTGAACTTCAGGAATAAAGAATTTCAAGGCATTGTTAGGAAAACCAAGCCATGATTGACAACCAGTGTCGCACAGGTTCCACTTCTTCTTTCTACTCCACCCCTATCCGTGATGGGAGGTGGGGAGAAAAAACAGTGTAACTGCTGGTCTAATGGTGTGCAACAGTAAGTGTACTGGCTACTCAGTTCTGTTAGAGATCTAGTGCTCTGTCCTTGGTGTTCTCTTCCTCCCCTCCCCCCTCCCCTCCGCAGTTGACAAGGCCGAACACCAGTAGTAAAGCAACTGGTGCAAAGGTCAGCTGTACAGTGGCAACTATAGTCTCAGATCTGGTGTTAACAGGAATGTGGCATCTTTACCAGCTCAGAACAAGCTTCCATACACAGTGGTGAATGGTCTGGTGCTCAACTCCCATCTGCTAACAGCATAGCCCGGGTGCTTGAATTCAGGTACAGACTTTTCTCGAACCTTTCTTCACGCACTCTGTGGAGGTTAATGCTCTTAACACATTCTAAGAGTGTTAAATGCGGTAAGGTCCTGTCTACTGTAGCTGCCAAGCCCAGAACACTGGAAACAGGAGGGATGGTGAGAATTTGTCAAACATGGCTTATTTTGCCAGTGTATGTGTGACCTAAGGCATATGGTGAAAGCTGGATATCAAAACCCTGTGTGAACTAAACAATGGGCTGTTTCTTGAAAATATGCTCAATGTAGTTGTTCGGATGGGAAATAACATAAAAACTTAGAGTTCTTGGGCCCAGGTTAAGTGTGGATGTCTTTAGCAGCCATCTTTAAATAAATAAATAAATAAATAAATAAATTAAATAACCCGGTGTACTGACTAGCAGGGTGTATGTAGCTTGACTCTTGAGCCCTGATCTACTTAAGTACTGCTATGGTAACTTCTAGGTGTCTAGACAAATCACAGGAACAACAATGCAATCCATAAAGTTAGGCTGTGATGGGTTGGATCACAGAAACCCCCTTGGGAGCTGCCACTCGATGTGCAAAGACTACCCCTGCTCCTGCCAGCTCAGGACTCCAGCACCCTGTCTTGCTGAGCCAGACACTCCCGTCTGCTCCAACACAGACCCAGGGTCTGAATAACTTTCCCCAAAG